TTTTTACTGTGTCGATTTCCTTGAAAAAAAAACGATTTTTAACACATTCTTAATTTTTTTGGAAATAGCAGATATTGTTTAAAGTGAAGTCCTGATATTTGGCAAAGCAAATTTCTAAGTGAACATGTCTCTACAGTGATTTTTCATGGTGTTAGACGTGCTTCTTAGCAAGTCTGCTTTTGTGAGTCTGATTCCGGGCGTGTGTCTTTTTTGTGAATTAGATTGGGCGTCTGCTTATGGGCTCTGGTCAATAGTGAATTAGGTTGCAGGGTAAAAAATGGACGGACGCCCATGAAAATTGGGCTTAAGCCCATAAATATGCGCCCACGCCCAATAGTGAATCAAGGCCTATATGTCTACCATTTTTGCAACTGACTGTTTTGTTTTCCTTTTTTATATACGGCACTTGTGTACAAAGTTTATTTTCTTGTCTTTCCATCAGTATATACTCTGTATTATTCACCAGAAAACTTGTATGTTTTATTCCTGTCGGTCAGTGCATCTGTTTTTTTGACTGATTCTCTGATGTTATCTATTCTGCAATAAAATTCTTTGTAAAAGAAATGAATGTGGCAGTGAGTAGGGCCACTGCGAGTGGATGGCAGTGATTATGGACATTAATATTTTTTTACAATTTTTCTTTATTTACATTCTGTCGTCAGAGAAGTACAGTGTCAATTACACTCTACTGCACTGGGGGAGTGATTGGAATTTTGTTTACCATGTAATCACTGTGACCAATCACAGAGATCACAGTAGTAAGCAATGGCATCATGAATGACAGTTATTGTTTATCACTGGCATTATGACTGCTGTGATTGGTCACAGCAATTAAATGGTACCCGGGCCCGGTACCCCAATCTGTGGGACCAATGGACACAGTTATCACAGATTGTGCAGCTGGGCAGCATATATGAATCATTTCTATTCCTGGATGGCTACACTCACTCCTCTACTGTATCTGTGGGCCATATTTGTGAATCAGGCTGGACTACTAATATATTGTAGTAGAGAACAAAAACAGAGCGCACCAACCTTGTGCATTACCTCAGTAAACAGTTGGTGGATTTATTGATTTAAGAGATATATTGATTGATTGAATTTATTAGATCGAGCTTTCCCAGCTTCGTGTTGGAGCTGCACAACTTTTGACCGGTCTTGGACAAACTTCCATATACTCTAGTATTAGTCCATCGGCCTTCTACTGATCTGGGTCCCTGAGCGCATGAGGTGTTGCATCATGCACTACTAATATGTCTGCCTTGGTTTATCTCCATTGCATGAAGGATATGGAGATTAGTAATTTACAGAATGGAGAAAATATTTTTTATGCTTCCAAGTAAGGTCACAGAAAGGACCGGACAGGTAGTTTCTAAACTAGCTGAAAATGTGTATAGTTTGTCGTGATTCACCAAGGATGTTTTTCCACATTTGCATTTTTTAGTGCTTTATTAGTGTTTTTTTAACCAAAAAGAAACATTTTTTGTAAAAAAAAAAAAGTCTAAAAATGCCGGCCTGCGGCGTTTTACCGCGTTTTTCAGCATTTTTCAGTGTTAGAGTGTTTTTACAGCTAAAAACTTCTCTAGACACCCACTAGTCCTGGGTTTTTTTCCAGCCAAATAACGTTCCATCCAAAAAATGTTGATTACAGTCTATGCGTGCATGGACACATACACCCTGTTGCAAATTATTATGCAAATTCTATTTAAGTGTCACAAACATGAAATATTTTGTTTTTCAGTTTAACTCATGAATGGCATTGTGTGTCAGGGCTCTTTTGATCACTGAAAACAATCTCAGACACCTGTGATAATTAGATTGGCAGGTGAGCCCAATTTAAGGAAAAACTACTAAAGGAGGGTGTTCCACATTATTAAGCAGAGCACCATTTTCAAGCAATATGGGGAAGAAAAAGGATCTCTCTGCTGCCGAAAAGAGTGAAATAGTTCAATGCCTTGGACGAGGTATGAACACATTAGATATTTCACGAACACTTAAGCGTGATCATTGCACTATTAAGAGATTTATGGCTGATTCAGAGCACAGACGGGTTCGTGCAGATAAAGGCACATTGAGGAAGATTTCTGTCAGATCCATGCATCGGATCAAGAGAGCAGCTGCTAAAATACCATTACATAGCAGCAAACAGATATTTGAAGCTGCTGGTGCCTCTGGAGTCCTACGGACAACAAGGTGTAGAGTCCTCCAGAGTCTTGAAACTGTGCATAAACCTTCTATTCGGTCACCACTAACCAATGCTCACAAGAAGAAACGGCTGCATTGGGCAGAAAAATACATTAAGACTAAGTTTCAAACAGTCCTGTTCACTGATGAGTGCTGTGCAACACAACAAATGACAATTTTCAGTTCGGAAAGCATAGTTCTTCCTTCTGTAACCAGGGAAGAAAGTGGTCAGTCATAAACTCCACATACTTTGCAGAGGTCATCTTTACACCTTCAGGGACCCTAAAGGGGCCGACCAGCTCTGTTCCCATGATTCTGGCCCAAAACATGACGTCGCAGCCTTGTTGGAACAGGGTGGCCGTCCACCAACCATCCACTACTCCATCCAACTGGACCATCCAGGGTTGCACGGCACTCATCAGTGAACAGGACTGTTTGAACATTAGTCTTCATGTATTTTTCTGCCCAATGCAGCCGTTTCTGCTTGTGAGCATTGGTTAGTGTTGGCCAAATAGAAGGTTTATGCACAGTTGCAAGACACTGGACTCCAGAGGCACCAGCAGCTTCAAATATCTGTTTGCTGTTATGTAATGGTATTTTAGCAGCTGCTCTCTTGATCCGATGCATGGATCTGGCAGAAATCTTCCTCAATGTGCCTTTATCTGCACGAACCCGTCTGTGCTCTGAATCAGCCATAAATCTCTTAATAGTGCGATGATCACGCTTAAGTTTTCGTGAAATATGTAATGTTTTCATACCTCATCCAAGGCATTGAACTATTTCACTCTTTACGGCAGCAGAGAGATCCTTTTTCTTCCCCATATTGCTTGAAAATGGTGCTCTGCTTAATAATGTGGAACACCCCCCTTTAGTAGTTTGTCCTTAAATTGGGCTTACTGGCCAATCTAATTATCACAGGTGTCCGAGATTGTTTTCAGTGATCAAAAGAGCCCTGAGACACAATGCCGTCCATGAGTTAAACTGAAAAACAAAATATTTAATCTTTGTGACTTAAATAGAATTTGAATAATAATTTGGAACAGGGTGTAATGAAGAAGTGCATTTCATCTTTCATGTAAATAAATATCATTAGTTCAGCCACTCATAATTGGTACAAATGTTAGATAAGCAGATGGTAATAAAAAGGGTGGAGGCCACACAAGGATATAAGAAGAGCTGCCCATACATATTTAAAGCCCCCGCACCAAATTTCAGTGACAGAATTTTTATTCAAGCTTCTGACAAGAGATCCAGAACACAGACAGAATGCCTTTCAGTGCTTCCGATAAGCATGACATTGGCCACATCTGGGAAAAGGTTGCTCCAAATGTGGACAGCCTTGGGGAAGAGGCCATGGAGAGGTGAGCTTTGGTTTATCTTAAGTAGCTTAAGTAGCCACAAAAAATTCTATACTCATATGCATTTAAGTCAACTCTGTATAACTAGTTTTTAGAGCTACATAATACTGCGCAATCACTTAACATTTATCCAAAATCAAAATTTATTTATTTTTTTAATTTTTTGGTTGGGATAGGGAAGGATTAGAACTTTTTTTTACTGTTATCCAGGATTCTCCTCACTTCCTGTCTAGTAAAATCTTATCAACAGGACAGGAAATAAGGGAATATTTCTCCACTAGAACCCTAGTTCGCAGTAAAAACATACACAGGTTCTAAACCTTCCTCTCTGTACCCAAAACTAAGAAAAATGTTTCATGTAAGTGTATCTCTAGGCAAAACTTTTGCTTTGTTTTGGGTGGAGTGGGGAACGATTACAGCCTCTGTCACGTTTTTGTTGTTGTCTGTGTCACCATTGGGAAGATTCACCCCTCTTTTCTACTGGTGACCATTGATTCTATTAGTGCCCGGTCATACTGGTGCAATTTCAGGTGCGATTTGAGAATTGAAATCGCATCCAACGAATGTGAATGTCAGTGTCTTAACATTTGCGATTAGCTGCAGCGTGATTTCTAAAGTAGTACTTGCATCACTTTTTCTGCAGTTTTTTTACAATTTCACATACATAAAATATAATGGAAATTGCACTGCAAATTACAAGAAATAGTTGAAAATCTTCAAAGGTAGCAATAAAGTCTTCAGAAATTGTGCTGCAATTGCACACAAATTGCGTGATTTTAAATTGCAGCGGTGTGACTGGTGACTTACTGACCTTCTATTGCCATAGTAGTATCAATATGTTCTAAGCCATTGACTTGGTAGAAGTATGCAGATTAGAAAGTCAGAGTGAATTTATAACTCCTGAACTGCATACTTGTTCCAGGGCATTGCCTCAGAAAAGTACTGATGTCATTGTATCAGCATGACAGTCAGGAAGACAGCATTTTCAAAACAAGAGGTCAGAAGTGTTCATGGTTTCTTTGTAATGGTTTAATTTATTGCATCAAGTGGCTGTTGGGTGTATCCATGGCTGTATTTGCTGTTTGCCAATCATTATCCAGTCTCTGGTTTCATGTTTGAGCCCAGAAATAGTCTACTTACAAGCAACTTATGAGCATGCCTTATATCACTGTGACAACCCTTTTTCCCTCCATCCACAGCTTTCTAGGGGCTACGCCCTTAAAATAATTTTAAAGGAGACATTGGCTGTTGTAGCATTAAAAAGTGCTATACTAATATATATATATATATATATATATATATATAATGTATATTCCGATGTAATAAATTAAGTTTCATTAATTCTTGCAGACTTTTCAAATGTCACCCAAAAACGAAAACATACTTCAGTCATTTAAATGTGCAGCACGGATCTGCTGATATCAAGAGTCAAGGAAGCAAGGTTCTTAAAGCCATTGGACATGCAAGCCAACATCTGGACAATCTGGACGAAGCTCTGAGCGACCTGAGTGATCTGCATGCCCATGAGCTGAGGGTGGATCCAGGAAACTTTCATGTGAGATATTGTTACTATCATAATCTTGAAAGATAATCTTCCTATTTTATAGGACATTTGGGAGAGGGACTAATACATTGTATGTCACGCCAACATGTCCTTGTATAGTTAATGCCCTATAATGTTTTACTTCATTGTTGTTGGACTTTATCTTTTATCTTAGATTTCGGACTATTAGACTCAAGTAAGAATAGAATGCATATATTTAATTTTTTCGTACTTTCTGTTAACTGTGTACAATTATTCTGGGTTAATATATTGTGTAGCAGCAATAGTATAGCAACATAGGTAGCAAAAATATCAACCACTAGTAGGGGACAGTTCACAAAAATATACAATGTCCAATCATTTAAAATAAAAATATGCAGTGGACTAATATATATGTCTGTGTCTTATATCTTGTAGCTACTCTGCCACAACATCCTAGTGGTCCTGGCTATCCATTTCCCAAAGGATTTTACAGCACATGCTCATGCTGCATGGGACAAGTTCCTGGCTTGCATCTCTGAGACTTTGTACTCCAAGTACAGATAATCAATGTCTCTATATCAGTCTGAATAAAAGATTCTATGATTTTACCTAACAATAAAGCATGAGTTATCAAAGCTAAATATATGTGTGTTCATTTTTGTATTATATATTTTCTAATGTATGTGTGTGCCTTTCTGCATAATATACATGTGTGTATGTGCTTCTATTTATTTTATTTTTTTAAACTGTTTTGCGCCGGAGCTATAGCAGAAATATTGCTACAGGGTGGCATGGGTGCACAAAGTCACATATATATATGTGATTTTGCAGTTCTGGGTAGGGGGCGCCTACCTGTGCCACCATTCCTGGACTCAGCTGTCAATCACTAGATCCTGGCCAGTGAATACTCGCTGGCACCCAGTGATCACCGAGTATCTCCTATGGGGGAGAGACTAGTATGTTAACAATACAGATCTTTCCCCTGTCAGTTCCTGCACACTGCTTTGTATGGCTCGGCATAGCAAAGCCATACAAAGCAGTGTGCTTACAGTGGAAAGCACTCATACAGCATACTCAAGTTAACCGCTTCCTGCCCAGTGCCATTACCCATATGGAAGAAAAATATATTTGAAATATATTTTCTAAATATTCTTCCCAAATATATTGCCATATATTTGAAATGCTACCATTTTGGCCATATTCAATATATATATATATATATACACACACTCTGCATGTTGAAATGCATTTTTATTACAAAATATTTGTAAAAATACATTTCAAACATACTGTATGTCTTTAAAAATACATCTATGTTTTTGGAATGCATTTTTAAATATATGCAAAAATATATGTTAACATGACTTTTTTATATGTTAAAAAAATCTGAAGAATATATTTAAAAAAGCGCTGCATTCTTCCTGCGGCGGCTTCTGTGACAGCCGGTTGCCTACTGTGCATGCGCGAGAAGCGCTGCACTTTGTGAATGGTCCAGTGTCTTCTGGGACACATGACAGGTCCCAGAAGGCTCCGGGCCATTCACAAAGCGCAGCGCTTCTCGCGCATGCGCAGTGGGCACCCAGCTGTCACAGAAGCCGCCGCGGGAAGAAGGAAGGACAACTCCGCGGAAGTGGGAGCAGGTTCCCTTTCAAATTCAGGTACCCGTTCCCCCTCCCTCCCCAAAGGTCCGCAGTCTCTGGTAATCTCCTTTACTGTCTGCAGTCTCTGGTCATCTGTACTATGTCCACAGTCTCTGGTCATTCCCTGTACTGTGTCCGCAGTCTCTGGTCATCTCCTGTACTATGTCCGCAGTCTCTGGTCATCTCCTGTACTAGAAAACACAAAATATTTAAAAGACCTCCTGCGCTTACATGGAATCCTAGCCTTAAAGAAAGCTGCTGGCACTAAACTTATACCCAAAATAAGTGAATGATCAATAAAATAAAATAAACAGTGCAGCGCTAATCAATAATATATATATAAATATCCAATAAATAGGTGATACAATAAATAAACTCGATATACACCCCTGGGAGTATATATCCAAAATAATCAATAATAATATATTAATGTCATGCGTGTAATCCCTTATAGGGAATATCTGGTGCAAAACGTGATAATTATAATCATAAAACAATATAGTGGCAAAAAAACGTACAGTGCTCAAAATAAGTGAACCAATATTCAGTTTCAAAAAAATGTCCAAACAATTGATAAAAGTAATGCAATGCTTTGTGGTAATCTTCACACTCTACTCTTCATGCAAAGAATAATGTGCAGTGTGCGTGATTCACACGTGCCAATCCTTAACGGCCAAAATGCCCCCTCACCTCCACTTAGACCCCACAGGGCCAGCACGCTTTAGGATCAAGCGATCCTATCAGAATGGATTCCTCTCTGGATCTCGCCTTCCACCTCCAGCATCCACCAGACTAGCAGCCAGCTCCTCCCAGGGTCATAATGAAACACAAACAGAGACCCTCCATAGTGCAACCAGTTTTATTAAACGATAAACAGATAGATAATAGAGTTCCACTCACATTCGTGATGATTCAATCCAGCTTTCTTACCACATGCTATGGGTAATACAACAGGGCGTTCCAATATGGCCCCCACGCCGGAAATGACGTGACCGCGTTAGCTCCTCCCAACGTACCGACGCGTTGCGTCACGCTCAGCACGTGACTTCATCAGGGTAACGCCCATAAGGGACGGAGCTTCCTTATATAGGAGAATTGGCACCAGTAATCATCCAGCGGCGGGTCTCCAGCGGCCATTTTAAAGGAGCCAGCTATCCGCCCATGCCTGCAGACACTGACCTGTACCAGGAGGAATAATACCTCCTAAAACCATATTTAAAAGTCAGCATCTACTACAATCAGTAGATGAAATCAGCGCCAAGGTATATGTGACTAAAATTACTCCAGGGGAAATACAACCTCATTGAAATAAGGAGTACATACAGAAAACTATATAATACTCCCAAAATTATTCATATTCAATAAATAAATACTTAGGTGGAGAATACCCTTACAAATGAAAGTGAGCCATCTAGTGGTTAAAATTAAAAAGAGCATATACATTAAAATTCCTCATATAAAGGCTCAGATACCAATACAATATAATTATAAATATATAATTATATAATTAAATCTACATAAAATATTAATAATACAATTACATTTAATAATCTCTGGTCACCTCCTGTACTGTGTCCGCAGTCTCTGGTATTCTCCTGTACTGTGTCCGCAGTCTCTGGTCATCTCCTGTACTATGTCTGCAGTCTCTGGTCATCTCCTGTACTATGTCCGCAGTCTCTGGTCATCCCCTGGACTGTGTCCGCAGTCTCTGGTCATCTCCTGTACTGTGTCCGCAGTCTCTGGTCATCTCCTGTACTGTGTCCGCAGTCTCTGGTCATCTCCTGTACTATGTCCGCAGTCTCTGGTCATTCCCTGTACTATGTCCGCAGTCTCTGGTCATCTCCTGTACTGTGTCTGCAGTCTCTGGTCATTCCCGGTACTATGTCCGCAGTCTCTGGTCATCTCCTGTACTATGCCCGCAGTCTCTGGTCATTCCCTGTACTATGTCCGCAGTCTCTGGTCATTCCCTGTACTATGTCCGCAGTCTCTGGTCATTCCCTGTACTATGTCTGCAGTCTCTGGTCATTCCCTGTACTATGTCCGCAGTCTCTGGTCATTCCCTGTACTATGTCCGCAGTCTCTGGTCATTCCCTGTACTATGTCCGCAGTCTCTGGTCATTCCCTGTACTATGTCCACAGTCTCTGGCATTCCCTGTACTATGTCTGCAGTCTCTGGTCATCTCCTGTACTTTGTCCACAGTCTCTGATCAGCTTCTGTACTGTGTCCGCAGTCTCTGGTCATTCCCTGTACTATGTCCGCAGTCTCTGGTCATCCTCTGTACTGTGTCCGCAGTCTCTAGTCATCTTCTGTACTGTGTCCGCAGTCTCTGGTCATCTCCTGTACTGTGTCCGCAGTCTCTGGTCATCTCCTGTACTGTGTCCGCAGTCTCTGGTCATCTCCTGTCCTATGTCCGCAGTCTCTGGTCATCTCCTGTCCTATGTCCGCAGTCTCTGGTCATCTCCTGTACTATGTCCGCAGTCTCTGGTTATCTCCTGTACTATGTCCGCAGTCTCTTGTCATTCCCTGTACTATGTCCGCAGTCTCTGGTCATTCCCTGTACTTTGTCTGCAGTCTCTGGTCATCCCCTGTACTGTGTCCGCAGTCTCTGGCCATGCCCTGTACTGTGTCCGCAGTCTCTGGTCATCTCCTGTACTGTGTCCGCAGTCTCTGGCCATCTCCTGTACTGTGTCCGCAAGTCTCTGGTCATCTCCTGTAATATGTCCGCAGTCTCTGGTCATCTCCTGTACTGTGTCTCCAGTCCATTGGTTCAGAATGTTTTTTATCTTGTTTTTCTCCTCTAAAACCTAGGTGCGTCTGATGGTCAGGTGCGTCTTATGGAGCGAAAAATACAGTATATAAAATGTATGTGTCTGTATATATACTTCAGATTGGTGTGTGTGTGTGTGTGTGTATATATATATGTATATGTGTGTGTGTATATATATATGTATATATATATATATATATATATATATATATATATATATATTGAATATGGCCAAATTTGTAGCATTGGAAATATATGGCAATATATTTGGGAAGAATACTTTTAAAATATATTTCAAATATATTTTTCTTCCATGTAGGTAGTACAGTGTCAGTGCGTTTTATTGTCAATCTCAAGTGACATCACTTGAGATTGAGAATTCTTGAGAATCCCAAATCTTGCAATATATGGGATCTTTAGCTTTCCTGGGAGACTGTAGGTGGACTGTGTCGCAACATTAGTGTTTAGGCAGACACGCTGGAAACTGGCATCTAAGGTCAGGATCTTTTAATTTTTTTGTGACTTCGTTTCAACATATTGTGGATGTACATGGGGTGGGGTGGGCTGGTGGGAGTGTTAATTTGCTAAACTAAATAAATAAAGCTGATTACAAATGATTGAGATACAATTTTTAAATGAAAATGGCATGAATGCTGAGCTGTTTTTACACCTTGACTTTTACCTAAATTGGACTTTCATTTATTATGCTACAGATGCTCTTTGCAAAGTATTTGAGCAATGAGCATCTTTGCTGAAGACCCCTATAAAGTCCATGTGTAAATTAGGTTTTCACACAATTCACACTTGATGAAAAATTCAGATATATAGAGTGTGTGTGTGTATCTATGCATGTATGTATGTATATATATATATATATATATATATATATATTTATATATATATACACACACGCATAGTACATTCATTAGTGCCATTCATATAAGTGATATTCAGCCACAGTCACTTTCACTCTTGTTTTCAACAGGATGAACGTGAGCAAGGTGAATGTAGCTGCTGAACAACAGACATTGACATGCTCACACTGGAACAAAATACTGGAAACCTGAGTTCTGTGTGCGTTTCCTGCACAGTGTTCAAAATGCACTGCAGTGTGTGTCATTGTTAAGTTTTTGACACCCCAATCACAGGTCGCAAACGCAGTGCGTGTGCCTGTACCAGATCAAATGGTACAGAACGACCATGCAATCTGGTTGCTGTGCATTTTTAAAGTACTGCATGCAGAACTTTTGGTGTGGTCCAGTGTGATTGAATGAATGGGCACCGCATGTAAATCGCACGGGAACACTCAGATCATTCCTGTGCGATTCCTTGTGTGAACTGGCCCTTAGTGAGCTGTCAAAGCAGTTTTTAAGCCTGCAGGTAAGTTTGCTCGGAGGAGCATTTTACAGTGCAGAAACAAGTGTAAAAACACAGAGAATCTGTCATTGTTTTAAAAAAAATGTGGCCCCTTGCCTCCCGCTGCTAAACAGCACTCTCTATAGACACTCATTATATTTTCAGTAGAAGCAATAATTTGATAGCTCTTCCAAATGAATTTTATTTGCTCAAGGAATATCAGGTGAATTTACAGATAGGGTAAGAGACACCCCTTTTAATAATAAAGATAACGTTACAAGAAAGACCTTCTGCTATTGAAGATTAGATGTTATTAAATGTTGGGGTATGTCATTTTTGATTTGGTGAATGTCTACTATATTTCCATTTTATATATTGGGCCCAGAATGTTGCCTAAAACTTTTAGGGTGAATTTTGGTAGAATGTCAGGCAATCCAACCATCTAATTGTTTATAGGTAGAACTCTCAGTGTGTCTTTAGAAATCAATAGCATATTTCGTCTTTGAAAAGTTTGTCTTGCTTCTTGTTTGAAAGTATAAGTAAGAGCCCATTTAGATCTCTGTCTTGCAGTAACATGCAGATTACTGCAGTGTGGGACAATACACATTACATGAGAAGCTGCTTTGAATGGACCCCAATGCACTAAGGGTCATGGAGCTCTGCTAAGATACTTTTCTGTTGGGCATGACGGATGAGTCAACATCAGGTCAGGTGCAATGCTCTGGCCAATCACAGCACAATTGGGCAGAGCTAGCAGTGACATCCCCGCTAGCTCCTCCCAATTGTTTACATCTTATCGGCAAATGTTAGATGTGGTGAGTGCTTGGCAGGTGTGGACGGTTCTGATGGTGTTGGGTTTTTTTTATTTTGGCAAGTCAGCGTCGTGATGCCGTAATTGATAATGGATTACAATGATGGAACCATTTTTTGGCTTTTTTTAATAAAGGAACTATTGTGTGTTTATTAACATTTTACACTTTTTTGGTGACTGGGTAGGGGTAGTATGTATCCCATACTCATTCATAAGTCACCTCCTGCAGATTTGTGGGGAAAATGCCCTTGTCCCTATCAGGACAGCATTGCACAAAGCACCCCCCCATATTGAGAGCCTGGTACTGTTCTGGGGGGGCACTCATTCCCCCCCCCCCTTTCCTGGCCTGCCAGGTCTTTGCTCGGATCAAGGGTCTGGTAGGAATTTAGGGGGCCCCCCCCACTTCTTCCCCCCATTTTGGAGGGTGGGGTTCCCCTTAAATGTACTACCAGGCCTAAAGGACTGGGCAATGCTTTTAGGGGGAACCCCACGCACGTTTCCCTCAATTTGTGGGAGCTGGGCTTTCAGGGGGAACCTCATGCACTTTTAAAAAAAAAAAAATATGTTACTATGGGGTCCCTCCTAACCTTCCTACCAGACCTAAAGGGCCTGGTATAGATTAGAGGAGGAGAACCCCACGCTTTTTTTTTTGTTTAACTAAAAATGTCAGTCTTGCTGCAGCAGGTTGTATACATTGTACAGACATGCAGCATTGCAGGTAGTGTAATGGGACTAAAGGAATTTTTCATTTTTATTTTTTTATTTTAACCACTTCAATACAGGGCACGTTTATCCCCTTCCTTCCCAGAAGAATTTTCAGCTTTTAGTGCTCTTGCACTTTGAATGACAATTACTCAGTCATGTTATACTGTACCTCAACAAAACTTTTATCATTTGTTTTTACAGAGATGGAGCTTTATTTTGATGGTACTTAATCATCACTGGGTTTTTTATTTGTTGCGGAAAAAACGAAAAAAGGGCAAAAATTTAAAAAAACTAATTTTTTTTTTTTTTTCATTTCTATTTGCAAATAAGTAAATTTTCTTCATAAATTTAGGCCAACATTTTTATTGCTGCATTTCTTTGGTAAAAATACCCCAAATTGTGGTATATTATTTAGTCTGTGTGAAAGTTATAGCATCTACAAGCTATGGTACCAATTATTGAAAATTGATCACACCTGATGTACTAACAGTATCTCATTTCTTGAGGTCCTAACATGAGAGGAAAGTACAAATGCCCCCTTTTTGAAAGTAGACAGTCCAAGCTATTTAGTAAGAGGCAAGGTGAATTTTTTGAAATTGTAATTTTTCCCATCAATTCTTGGGAAAATAAAGAAATTATAACTTTTTTTTAACACAGAATTGTCATATTAACAAGTTATTTCTCACACACGGCATATGCATACTTGCAATTACACCCTAAAACACATTCTGCTACTCCTCCTGAGTATGGTGATACCACATATGTGAGACTTTTACACTGCCTGGACACATACAGAGGCACAACATCAAAGTAGCACCATCAAGCATTCTAGAGGCATAAATTACACTTTTAATTTCCTGACTACCTATCTCATTTTTGAAGGCCCTGGAGCACCAGGACAATGGAATTACCCACAAAATGACCCCATTTTGGAAAGCAAACACCCTAACCTATATTCTATGAGGCATAATGAGTCTTTTGAACTTGTCGTTTTTTTTCTACAAGTTTGTGGAAAGAAAGTGAAAACATTTTTTTTTTTGTACACAAAGTTGTCAATTTATAAGATATTTCTAAAAACACAGCATGGACAAAGCAAGAATTACACCCCAAGATACATTCTGCTACACCTCCTGAGTATGGTGATACCACATTCATGAGATTTTTTCGCAGCCTAGCTAAACAAAGGGTAAACAGAACATTATCTGCGGTTGTACTAGAGAAGTTGTCTGTAGAGGAGAGCAGTGGTCCAGGAAGCAGGCAGAGATGTGGTCAGCAATAGTCAAATTAATAGTCCAGGCAGCAGGCAGGAACATAGTACAAAAAAAGTCCTGGGTCATTACAGGCAGCGATATGGTCAGCACAGCCAAAGTACTGGTTCAGGTAGCAGGCAAGAACACGGTCCATATAAAGTCCTGGGTCATTACAGGCAGAAGGCAGAGATATGGTCAGCACAGTATTGGTCCAGGCAGCATGAAGGAACATCAAGCTTAGGGCCTCGGTCAGGTAAGACCTGGCCACAGGGGTAGAGGCTTCGTCCCACCCAATCTCTTCGAAGCCTCCGGACTAATAGACCCTGATCTGGCAATTACAAAACCTGGTGAAAACCAAAAACTGTTTTTCTCTACTCTGAAGCCCCTCACATATGGGAGACCCCTGTGTCCATCCCCTGCTAAAACAAATCTGCTAAAGAGAGCAGTATAACTATTAATAAAATTAGCAACATTTTGGGTTTATTATTTTATGATATGACTTAGAGATGTACTATGTAATAAAAATAGAAATCAATCAAAATTCAACTTCCATTGCATTAACTACTGTAAGCTGTTGAATGCGCATTTCTGACTTCCTACCAT